GTAGGAAGAGGGAAATGTATTAAATGACTGAAATGAATGTTATTCCTACCAGCTTCTCACCTTTTATGTTTTTCTTTGCGCCTTCTAGACGTTTTATTGAGAAACATGGACTGGAGGAAGACTCATGAGTTTGGACAAATCACCGTCCCAGGATGTGTTTACCGAGAGACAACTGACTTCACACACAATGTTACCCAAACAAGGAGAAGAGATTGTTGTGTTGACTTTACCTGAAATATTTGTGTTAACCAAACATACAGATTGAACTTCAGTGGATTTTTTTTAATCCTCTTGCATGGCAATCATGCATGTCTTTTTAATTATTTCTCTCTGCTACAGAAAAGCAAAAAGATTATTTTGGTAAACAATTTGTACTACACCCCAGTGACAGTGGAACATCTCATATTATTTTTATAAAGTTGAGAATTAGAAAGCAGGGGGTCAACATTGTGTGGTTCAAAATAAAACACAGTTTGAGGTTATGTTGTAAGGATATGTGTTGATTCAGTATCAGCTTTTAAAGACATTAAAGATCATTTATAAATGCAAAAAGTCTGTTTATTCTGTTGCTCATATAATGTATTATAATCTATGGATTGTACTAATATAAAGGCATTTTCTACTCAACTCTTACGATGAAACATTATGGGACTGCAAGCAAAACATGAGCCAGATGGACAGGCAGGTGACAAATGTTTGCAGTTGGTTTATGGATCTAATAATGGCATCTAATCACAAACCTAAAAGTTGGAACTGCATGTAGTTTCTTTATTTATCAATACAAATTTTGTCAGATGCTTTATTTGCACATTTTGTTGCAGGCTAAACTGACAGGCTGTACAATGTTGTAGCTGTAGTTTTCAACACGCAATATAAACATGAGCTGGGGGTGGGGGGTTCCAAAGAACCGTTACAGCGTGCTGAGTGAAAACGTACTCAGGTAAAGATAACGAAATGAAAAAATTTGAAACCTTATTGTGACGCCCTCCGCCAATCAGTGACGGCGTGTGCGTCTTCAGCCAATAGTCGTAAATTTTGTCAGGAGACTCCCGTCAAGTGTCCACCAATCAAATCGAAGAGGAGGCGGGTGCAAGACACGGAGCAACCAATGGGAGTTGAGCGTATCTAGGCGATGTCTCCAGACTGAATAAGTAGAAGTACTTCTCGAATTACTGTCTCATTGTCGCTGGACTGTGCCGGACGGGGTTCTTCTTTCAGTTATCTTGTTTGATCTACAGCAGGCAGAATGAGGGAGATCGTTCATTTGCAGGCAGGACAGTGCGGCAACCAAATTGGTGCCAAGGTAAGAAATAAAGGGCTTTTTTTCCTTTTACTTAATTCGGAGTGGCAGGCCTGGTAAAGCTGACTCGCTACTCTCTGAAGGCCTTGGTCTGTTTTAGCTGTTAGTGATTTACTGTTGGTTAGTCCGCGACGCCTTTATAAAGTTAACTTTTTTTCATCGATAATCGTTTGAGGGTTTTTTTGTGTCTTGTGAGCTGAAAAGTGGGTTTTATCGCCGTTGTACAAAATGCAACAAGTAGACAAAAACTTAAAAAAAAAAAAAAAAAACTCAGTTGCACGTCTGTTAGACCGTCGAAAAGACTCCGAACGTGTGTAAAGGCTTTCTTTGAGCCCCTTTTCGGTCTCCGGAAAGCGGATTGCTATGAATGAACTAATGGCGAAACAATGCAGTCTGCTGAAGGGTGTTGGCCCGACGCGCGCGCGCTGTCGTAACATGGCCGGTTGTATCTGGTTCAGCTCTTGGAAAAGGCGCTCAGCCGACAAGGCCAACACCCAGCTCTCTTTTTTTCATGGAATTGTTCGTGGCTTAAATACGGTGTTTCTGCCCGTTTAAATATACTGTTTTAGGGACGTCACTGACTGGATTTTGTCAAAGCCGGTCAGCGCCGGTCGTATAAAATGGCCTCATGACTTGGCAAACTCCATTTTGCCTCCGGTGTCATAGCTACCGTTATAAGTGGTGGCCTGATTAAGGGTTCTCGTTTTCTGAAACTGAGGTTTTAAATATGATTTCATTTCTATTCTTTTAATGATTTAGACTAAATAATGCATTTGTTGTTGTTGCCATGCACTCCTAACGTGGGCCCCATTCTCTCTTTTGTTCCCAATCAGTTCTGGGAAGTGATCAGTGACGAGCACGGTATTGACCCAACGGGCAGTTACCATGGCGACAGTGATCTTCAGCTGGACAGAATTAACGTGTACTACAATGAGGCCACAGGTGAGGCAAAAAAAGAGTTTGAGAAGGTGACCTCGATTTATATTTTAGTGTTGTGTAAGTGTTCTATACCTGTTCTTTTGCACTTCATGTTTTAATCCTCAATGTATTCCAGGTGGAAAGTATGTTCCTCGTGCTGTGCTGGTGGACTTGGAACCAGGTACCATGGACTCAGTGAGGTCTGGACCTTTTGGGCAGATCTTCAGACCTGACAACTTTGTTTTTGGTAATTTTTTTTTCCCTTCCATCCCATTTACAGTGGACTTTTTGCCCACTGCAGTGATGCAAAGTAATAAAATCTAATATGGTTGTCCATCTGTCTGCAGTGCCTTGCAGTCAAATTTACTCATTTGACTGCCAAGGTGCTAGTTTGGTTTGCATGTAATTTCCTCCTGATTCATGTCTGTAACTTTGCATATAATAAATGAATGCTTTTTCTGCAGGCCAGAGTGGTGCTGGTAACAACTGGGCCAAGGGCCACTATACAGAGGGAGCCGAGCTGGTGGACTCTGTTCTTGATGTGGTTCGCAAGGAGGCTGAAAGCTGCGACTGCCTGCAGGGCTTCCAGCTCACCCACTCCCTGGGTGGTGGCACCGGGTCCGGCATGGGCACCCTCCTCATCAGCAAGATCCGTGAGGAGTACCCTGACCGCATCATGAACACCTTCAGTGTTGTGCCGTCTCCCAAAGTCTCAGACACAGTGGTGGAACCCTACAACGCCACACTGTCAGTCCATCAATTGGTAGAAAACACAGATGAAACGTACTGCATCGACAATGAAGCGCTGTACGATATCTGCTTCCGCACACTCAAACTCACAACACCCACATATGGTGACCTCAACCATCTCGTCTCTGCTACCATGAGTGGCGTCACAACCTGCCTGAGGTTCCCTGGTCAGCTGAATGCTGACCTGCGCAAACTGGCTGTTAACATGGTGCCATTCCCCCGTCTGCACTTCTTCATGCCCGGCTTTGCCCCTCTCACCAGCAGGGGTAGCCAGCAGTACCGCGCCCTCACTGTTCCAGAGCTCACACAGCAGATGTTTGACGCCAAAAACATGATGGCTGCCTGCGATCCACGACATGGCCGTTACCTCACCGTTGCTGCCGTCTTCCGTGGCCGCATGTCCATGAAGGAGGTGGATGAGCAGATGCTGAATGTGCAGAACAAGAACAGCAGCTACTTTGTTGAGTGGATCCCAAACAATGTCAAGACTGCTGTCTGCGACATTCCACCCCGTGGCCTCAAGATGGCTGCCACCTTCATTGGCAACAGTACAGCCATCCAGGAGCTGTTCAAGCGCATCTCTGAGCAGTTCACAGCCATGTTCAGGCGCAAGGCTTTCCTGCACTGGTACACAGGAGAGGGCATGGATGAGATGGAGTTCACAGAAGCCGAGAGCAACATGAACGACCTGGTGTCCGAGTACCAGCAATACCAGGATGCCACCGCAGAAGAGGAAGGAGAGTTTGAGGAGGAGGGAGAGGAGGAGCTGGCTTAAGTTAATCTGTCAGTCATTTCTTTTTCCATGTTTTTCCTTTCAGAACTTTCCTTTTTGTCACTTTCTTACTGTGTTTGTCACTTGCATTCTGGGTTGTACCTTTACTACCAATAAAACATGCAGTTAATGACACCAGAGTTTTTCAGTGCTTTTTAATTTAAGTTCACCTCACCTTCAGTTACCTTTTAATCCAAAACAATTAGCAGGGTTTTTATGGACTCTTAATCTTAAGAGATTTTACAAAATTTAATGTCAATTTTTTTTAAACTGGTTGGATATTTAAATTCTAAGAAGAATGAAAATGATTCAAAGAGGTTGAAAATGGTACTTATGTATATTAATCTATTTGCAATAGTCCACCAACTAAAAATATCCAGCTAACCCCCAGTGGCCTTGTGGGCAGAAACTAGGGTAAAAGATTGCAGAAGTCCAGCAAAGAACAGGTGTAATTGGTAAAGCTGTATGGGAAAGATTGGAGTGTGTGTGTGTGTGGATAGGTTCTTAATAAACCCATATTGGCAGATCAATACAAGCCATAGTTAAGTCTGTGTACTATGCAGTGCAAATGTATTTTTCCACTCAAAAATATTAAAGGATTGAATTTGATTTTAAAACTCTTGTAGCAGAGAGTCAAGTGTCTCCATAACATCAGTGTATAAGTAAATTCAAGTATTTCATTCTCCAGCATCTTTACAGATACATTTAAATGCATGTAAGTCACCAGCTGAGAAAAATTTTGCTAAGTGGCAGCATATTGAGCATTGGAAAAAAAACAGTAATTAGAAAAACAGATGGCAATCTAACAGGTTTTGGGGAACTCTAAACTGAACCTGACAATTGTTTGCAGAGATACTGGAATTGAGGTGAGGGAAAATTAACTTGTTCAAGAACACACGCCTGTCTATGCACCCATCTGGCACATACTGAGCTTCATTTGTGTAGTGAGGTTGGCTTTGTGGTAGGGTGGCCTGGAATTTAAGCCTGGTTTATTGGATTAGCCGTGTTTATTGAAATTGTCTGGCTTTGCGAAATACCCCTTGAATTGAGTAAGAGCATGTTCTGGAATTGTCTTAAACAAGTCAGACTTGTTTATCCTTAGATTTGGATTGAAAGTTATATAAAGGGGATATTTGTATGTTCAGCCTCATACTAAATCCCACAGAAACGTCCACGTTTATACATGTTTACATTGCATACATCATATGGCAGCTTCTAGAAAAAAAAAACGACTCCTACTATAAACAAAGTTTGTCAAAACACTGTTGAAAATACACATTTTTTTTATCAACATTTATATTGCATTCATTACATTATTATCATTTAAAAAATAAAACATTAAGAAGACATTCTTAATAGGGATTTAACCTGATTTCTCCAGTAAGAAACCTGACTATTCTGTCAGTTGAAACAAAGCTGTAACTGGTCAGGCTCATGCATGAGGAAGTGCTCTCTTGTGCATTTCCCTTTAGCCCTTTCCTTTTATTCAAACAGACAAAGGGCTAATCTAAGATCCTTTCCCCAACATAGCTGGGGTAGATGTAATCAATGATACAGACTCCCACAATGCTTTTTATTAGCTGGTCAGTTGTCTGTGTTGATTTAAAGCACCCAGAGACACCTCTTGGTAGAGGAGTAGACAAGGAGACATTTCTAATCAGTACTTGGTTTACAATAAGAATAAATAAAAGTATATGTATTATAAAGCTGCTCGTTTTCCAAAGTGGCTTAAGGCAGTTCCAGTTATGGGCTATTTGTGTTATGAGATCTGATTATTCAGCTGACCGGGATAAAGTTCAAACTGCTTTTCTGCCTCCTCGCTGTATGAGTCACCTGAAAATAGAACATGAAACAAGAATAAACATTTACATTACCAATGTTGCCTGTTGATTAGATAACAAACTATGAGCTAATCAATTCTGGCCTACACTCTTAAAAAAGATGGCGCTTCAAGGGTTCTTTAGTAAAGAAAGTGGTTCTATATAGAACCATGAACACTCAAAGAACCCTTTGCATAATGAAACTGATGGAGAACATTGCATTAATGTGCTATAGACGATTCTGTATAGAACCTATGTATAAGGGTTCTATGTAGCCCCCAAGCTTGACATTGTCAAAATAGAAGAACCCTTTTGGGTGCTATACCTACAGCACATTCTCCATTACTCTGAAGAAATGGGTCATGCAAAGGGTTCTTTGAGTGTTCATGGTTCTATATACAACCATTTTCTTTACTTTAAGCATCTTTCTTAAGAGTGTAGCATTTCCATTGAGTACAGCTTTTCTTGCTCCTTTTTGTTTGTTCCAACAGATATTCTTGAAAGCCTTCAGTTTTAGTTGTGTGAATGTTTGTGAACACTACTGTTCTCAATGAATAGGGTTACTATAGCTGTGACTTACCTAGATGGCATTTATGCAACCAGACTCTATTGCCGTCATATTTGCAGTTGCAGCGCATGGCATTATTGGTGAAGTCACTCTCTGCGACCTCGAAGTTGGGATTTATTATAACCTGTGAGAGAGCAAAATCTTTTATTTAAAAAGCAAAATACCTATGCAGTAAAAATCTAGGGTCAGTTGGGGAGAAGAAAGAGCCAAAGGAAATAAATAACTGTGCTCTCGACCAGTTTAGGTTAATCTTAATCCTGAATCCGTAAAAGTCCTCCCTCCCTTCCTCTGTATACTCAAAGGTTCATTACGGCAGAAAATCAACCCAATCCTATTAAGAGTCTTGATCCTTAGATTCTTAGGAGTTAGCTGTGCAGTTGCAATTGCATGTGTCTGCCACAAGACGGCACTCCATCAACACTATACTTTATACAACATTTGAAACAAAGTGCCTGTCAGTAGGGTCCTTTGGGACCACGTTTGGCATGGTAATGTGGCTCAGCACTACAGAAGTAGTACTTACAATAGCAAAGAATTAAGCCTCTCTACACTGAGTTTGCCTCTTGTGGGTTGTGAATAAACTAATCATGTTTGAATGTATAAGTTTATATTTTACCTGTAGTATGTAGTTGCCTGGTTTAACATCAGTGATGTCAATCCACTGGCAGTCAATGTCATGTCTGTAGGTGTCCCAGCAGCCAACTGTGATGCCCTGCTCCCCAAAGTTGGCACACTCATATCGCTTTGAAATACCTGCCCCAAAATAAAAGTAACATTATAACTTTTGCTTCCTATTTACTGTAGACAGATAACCTGACTGATTACATGATGAGGACAGCCAGACATGGTCTGTGGACTTTTCCTGTAACAGTGCTGTTTCTGTCTATGCCATATACGTGCAAAAAGCCCTACATCAATGAATCCCTACTAATGTTAAAATGGTCCCAGATGAGCAATCCAGCAAAAGTCCCCACTTCCTCAGTCATTATGGCAGGAAATCAACTCAATCCTATTAACTGGCTTGATTGGTTGCAAGTGCTGTATGCCATGTACCTACAATGCTGCAGAAAAATCAGAGACCACCCTTCATTTATTTAATTTCCAGTCAAAATGGCCAATTTGTGTCTTTTTCCAGAAGATCACATGACAAATTGAATGTGTTGAAAAACTGAAAGTGAATTACCTGTAAATAATGAGAGCTGTAATAAAGGTAAAGGGTGGAAATTATATTATGTTATATGATTTTGTATTTAGTAATTCTCTGTTAAGTATATGTTTTCTGCTTTTTCCCTGATGCTGAAAAAGGAATAACTTATACATAATGGCTGTTTTGACTGGAAATTAAATAAATGAAGGGTGGTCTCTTATTACCTGCATTAACATTCAAAATAGTGTACTGAAACTTAAAACTGCATCCATTTAGAATCCGGCCCCTTGATCGCGTCTGAGGTGTCTCTCATTTGCTGTCTTTTATGGAAAATAGGGGCTGACATGGCAGGCACTAATCTTGACTTCAGAATATTGAACCTGACAATATGTGTATATACCAACATAACCAGAATGTAACCTCAGCCATACCCTCATGGCACTCCGTGTCCTCCAGACAGAAGCTGGCTTTGTGACCATCTGCCACTTTAGTGCCATTGAGATCCAGCAGGTCGTAGTGGGTAAAGATATCCATACTATGATAGTGCCTGAGAAGGAGATAACCACACACATTTAATGAGCACTGCAGAGGAACAGCAGAGCAAGTTCATGAATGCCTACACAATCATCTCCATAAATAAAATTAGTCAAATCATTTTTATGTTTGACCACAACTGGTCATAAGATGCCTAAAATATGAATGAATGTAAGGGTAGTTCTGTATGTAGTTCTGAGCTGCTATGCCTTTTCCAGAAGAAAATCTAAATTAAAAACAAGTTATCCTATCCAAATTCAGTGCTTTGGGTGGGAAACTGAACCCATGGAGTAAACACTGGTCTCTCTCTCTCTCTGGCTGAAGGCTGAAGCTGGGCTTCTGTTGCTTCCACAATGCGCCAGGTTTTCCCATTAAAGCTGCATTAAGCATAAATACTGAGTGACCTAATGTGTGCTGGGAGACCTGAGTGGATTTTGGAGCAGACATGCTGGTCACCACACACTGCTCTAGGCCCATTTTGAGCTTCTTCTTCTCTTCCCAACTCTTTCCAAAAGTAACAGATAAAGACAACTTGAACAGAGTTCAGAGCAACTAACCGCATGGCAACATCAGTTCAACAGCTGCCATACAAAACAAAAATCACTTTCACTATAGGAAATTAGATCCACTGTTGCCTCTGTTTCAGATATTCCAGGAAAACCACAATTAATATGTGACAGCCTAAACAATTGTTCAGTGATGCCCTTACAGCAATAACTCTTTATCAGAGTTAACATGTTAAGTAGCAGTTATTGTCTTTTACATCTACTTCTTCCATTCACAGAATTCTATAGTCTTTAAACAACAGAAGAGTAAACGAAACTGCAATCATGCACCCACATGTTGTCCATGCATGCAAACTAATGTAACGTGTCTTTACTCAAGCATGCACACATGCACCTTTGCTCTAAAGTAAGGTTGCTTTTAAGTGTGACAAAAAGAAACCACACTGACCCACCCCTGTCAGCTTGAGAAATGATAGATATTTTCCTCTTTTGATCATGCCCATCCACATGCACTCACTGAAACAGATGACACGAACAATAGAGCTCATCAGTCATGTGAACATGCAAGACTCCAGTGCAGACACTACTCTGTAATTTACTACAAACCAGTTTCTAGTCAGTAGGTTTGAGCACAGCTGTCTCCTGTGAATATTGTGCAAAAATGCCTTTTCTCTGAAGCTGAGCAACTTTTAAAAAGTACCAGTCTGTTCCTCAAAACCCTGTTGTCTTTGCTTCCACCACGCTGTCACCATGCTGTCATCTGGTTAAGTCTTCTACTCAAAGGAAGAGTTTAGCCAAAAAAAAAAAGTTCCGCAAATTTGCACACCTAAATCATCATACACATTGATCAAGCCATGTGAAATCATCTCAAATAGACTTGCTTATGTGGTTTCTGACACTGTATGACATACTTTTATGTATAAAAATGGACAAAAGTAACTTTTGAGTGATCAGTCCGAAAGTATGTATACAGCAATCATTATTTTTTTTTTATTTTAATCAAAATATTTATTTAGATTTTATCATTTCTTTATGGCCAACCAATTTTTTTGGAGACACTTTTTACTAGCCTTTTTTAACCCAAAGGTCACACTGTTTCAATAGCAACAAAAAAGCAGAAGCCTATTTAAATAACGTGAATCAAATAAAATACTACAGGAAACTGGCTATTTAGCACAATGACTTATGCTATGACATTTTGGTATATATTTATTATACAATGACATTTGGCTATAGGTTTATTTTGCTATGATATTTTGGTATATGTGCTGCAGTAGCACAGATGAGGAGTGAGTGCACTCACCTGTCTTATGTTATTTACATCATAAAATTCCAACACAGATCAGCCAAAATGAATTAACTGTGTGTTTGGATCAAACATCCCCACCTAAAAGGTTAGATATTGCCCTTGCAATATCTATAACAGTCTGTGCTTTTGTCCACTTTTATTAAAATAATGTCGCACCGTCAGAAACCACATCAGCAAGACTATTTACATTACTCCCATTAGTTGTTAGCTACATAACTTTGCAGCTGTAGCAAAACTAACACCAAACACATGGTGACTGATCAACTACATTTGGTGTAAGGGAAAATTGTGTATATTAGATTTTTTTCCCCAAAATATTCCTTTACCTTCAGCTAGATAACCATCTAGCATGCAGCCTCTGATAAGCATGCACTCTTGTATGCTAATACACAGACAGCCAGCTCTGACGATCAGCCCATGCCAGAGAGATAGCCCATGCATTTACCTATGGCATTCATGCCACACCCAGGAGTGACGGCCCAAACGGGGCCGGAAGTCAGCTCGTCCAACATTGTGGATCTCAGAGGAGAAGCGGAGAAGGCGGCGATGGCCATAAGGCCAGTTGGCTCTGACAGCAGATTTAGAAAGGCAGTTCTCTTCCGCCGCACAGTAGAGCAAATGCAGGGGCCGGTCTTCGATGTAGACACTCCGCTCCACCAGAGGGGCATTCAGGACCATGTCTGATGCAGCTGAAGATTGTGAGAGATGAGGAGATGACATAAATGAGTGATAAATGTAACAGACATCTGCTTTCAATCTGAGTGTCTCTGTATCTTTTCTATGTCCTCTACTGTTTATCCATTTAAAAGTTTTAGCAGATTTTTTTAAACATCTCACTCTTACTACTGTTTACTATACTGCTTGTCAAATAGAATTGTAGATACATAGCAAATACAGACTGAAAGTGTATACAAACATAAGAAATAGACAACTAAGAATGCTTTCCAGTATACTGTAGGTCCTCCTCTAGCCTTGCTGACCACCCTCACTGCTGCCATGCTTTTAAGTCATCTAAACAAACTGCTTTCCAAACATTCTTCTCCACAGACCATCTGAAGTGGTTGCATTTTTCTTCTCCACACATTTCCAGTGTATTTTACTGAACCAATAATAAATAATAAGGAATCATACTTAACTGTCCACATTAAGAAGAAGAAATGTAAGTGTGGCTGGCTGGTGCATGTGTAACTCACAGTCTGAGCAGATAATTCCTGCAGCAAACTGAGGTCCTGCCCTCTTACAGCTGACGACCTGATGGTGCTGACAGTCACTTAGAGTCATCTCATCTCCCCGACACTTCACCCCACTCATCACCATCTCAGTCACATTACTGCTGTCCCAGTACCACGTTTCCTTAACAACACAGAGGACACCGCAGTGCACAGATTACAAGTGGTGCCATACCTGTTACATTACGATAAAATCTAGAGATGAGTGATGAAACCACATGAGGAGTATTTCTCAAGGCAGGATTTCTCAGTTAGCAAGATAACTTAAGCCAAAAGCTAAGCTTTGTCCAACTGGATGAGAGCTAAGAGAAATTTCTACTGAATAAACCTCAAAGTTTGGCTTAAATGATCCAAATGACTGAGGAATCCTTTATAAAATACTTTATTTAGTGTTTCTGTGATGTTTAATTGCAGTACAGCTCCAGTTATTCTTCACCAGTTCTTTTAGCTCTAACACCTTCCGTATTTGCAATGTCATAGCATTTATGTTTGTGCTACATTTATATAACTAATAATAATCTAAATGTAAATCTTATTCATACAGTACTCCTCTTACTTACTGTGATTGCATGCAGGGCGTAGCCAAGGCCTAGCTGTCCGCACGCCACCATGGCCTCTCTAGTGCTCCACCCATCACTGCACAAAGTGCCCCATCGGGACCCAACCTGAACCTCCACTCTGCCCTCGTAATCCGTCCTGCCCCCGACTATACGGATCTGCACACAGATCCCCACTGCAAGGACTAAGCATGCAACCTATCCAATGATCTATGTGAAGAGAGCGTGACGCAGTTGCCCAGTGAGGTTAACAGACAGTCCACGTTTATTCTCTGCCTCAACTTGAAGAACAACTGTACCCAGCATTCAGCAATCTACTTGGTTTAAGTACCCAAGGCTTCCAAAGACTAGATTAGGAGATGCTGAGCCTAACCTACTGCTATGCTATTGCATAAGTTCATGCTTTGCTCTCTACAAGCTTGACTCCTTTTGTCAGTTATGAACAGAAGAGCTTGCATTTTTACTATTTTTAAGCATTTATGTTTAATTGCAGGATGGAGCCTGTGTTATACAAAAAAGCCTCCCAAAAATGTGAGGCTTTTTTGGGCCCTGCTGCTGCTTGATGGTATTGAGCTCAATGATGTCTTCTAAAAGACTATTTCTTCCAGTGAAGCATCATAGATCATGTCACAGCAAGTGCCTAGCCTTCAGAAAGCTATTTAAACAAAGAACAGTGTTTATGTATTCATTTCTCTCAGGTGACATAGTGTAATTTCTGAGTGTACATTTTTTTAGAACACCAGGTTTAGTCTGTACTTGCTGTCCCTGGATTCCTAACCTATTTTTTATGTGCAGGTGCTTCACTCTTAAAAATAAAAGTTTTCAAAAGCGTTCTTTTGTAAAATGCCACAGAAGAACCACTTCTGTTTCTGAAAAAAAAAAAAAAACTTTCAATGGATGGTTCTTTGGAGAAAACCTACTTTTGTAAATGAGATGTGTGAGTGTGAAGAACATCCACAAAATGTAAAGGTTGTAGGAAATGGTATAGAAAAGAGCTGGCAAAAGTTGGCCTGTTAGGAAGTGTGATTGAGCCCACCTAAAAGTCATCCTCACCCTATGAGAGAACAAACATATTTTTATATTATAAATGACTTAATAAATTATTAATTACTTTAAAAATGTATTTTTGAAGTAGCAACAAATAACATTAACGCTATGAAATACATGAAACCTTCTTAAACTCTTTATTTGTATACTGTTTTGTCTTTTTGGCCCTCAGTCCACCACAAACATTGCACTTTGGCCCTTCAAAACAAAAAAGGCTTGGCACCCTTTACATTATTTTAAATCTTTAGAAGGTTCTTCACGCTTACAAATCTTTTATCACTCAGTTCTTCACAGAATCAAATATGGTTCTTTAATTGGCATCGCTCAAAGAACACTTTCTGGCTAGTTTTTTAAGAGTGTACTTTCATTAGGGCTTCAAAATTCATTTCTAAACTCTTTTCTTCTTGCGCCAGAGCTGTTTCTCCATATCTTGATATATGTTACTTCCCAAACTTATGGTCACGGACATCTCAGTGATGTATTTGTTCAGTGATGTATTTGTTCAGTGATGTATTTGTGCAACCTAGCCAAGCTCCTTAAAATCCATCTTCCTGCAGAGTTAAGTTCTACCCCTAATCCAACACATCTGATCCAGCTTACCAAGGTTAAAAAGAGCATCTGAATATCAGAGCCAGATGTATAAGATCAGGGTAGGAATGGAACTCTCTCTACAGGAGGGTGAATGTCTGGCAGTTGAACAAGTCCCCTCTCGTGTACTCTGAGAATTCTCTTACGCTGAGGCCGCTGCTAGCATATCCAAGCCCCAACTGCCTGCAGGCAACCATGGCCTCTCGAGAGGTCCAGCCGTCCCCACAGATCAGCCCCCACTGCCCTAAAACACTGGCATTAGGGGCCAGGAGCTCCACACGCCCTTCCAACTGTGTACGCCCCCCGGTCAGCCGGATCTGGGATTGGGTTAGAGATGAGCAGCGAAGAGCAGAGGAAAGCATAAGGTCAAAAGTCAAACAGCCTTGACTTTAAACCAGGAGGTCAGAAGCTGTTCAGCTCTAGTTGTTCAGGGCTGCAGTGTCTTTGGTAATTTCATCCAATCATTAACTACTTCACTGATGTGCCTAATAATGAACATTAATGTACAGTATATGACCATATGAACAGTGCGTACCTGATCCAATAAACTCATTCTTCTCAAATTCTTTGGGCACTGCTTGGAGCATTGACAGACTACTCTCTGAGTTGAACAGCCCAGTACAAACTAATTGCACTCAGATGTTAACCTATAGCTACTACGCTAGAGTAAAACTCTGTATTATAAGCATATTTCATGGAGCTTCATGAGGATTGCATTAGTTTCAAGCAGTGCACATAAAAAGCAAGTCAAGCATGATTTTTCATAATACTGATTATGAAAAACAACATATAAAACCTAATGTCAAAGAGTTTTTGGGGAAAATGACTATCAAAAATATATTTTATTCTTTGACAGTCATTTGTTTACAGTTTGCTAAAATAGAGCTACCAACTCAACTACACAAATTGTACACCTACTGATTTCTAGTTTTCCTTTTGTATGAGAATTTTTGCTGTCTACACAAAGTGTCCTCCATGTTACTAATCTATGAACTGTACTAACGTATGAAATGAAGTATAAAACACAAACTGTCTGACCGTTTTTTCAAAGCCCATGCAAGGGATGTTGCACTTGACAGAGGCATCCTCCATGTGTTTGCAGTCCTTAGCAGTGATGCTCTTATGTGGACATTTCCACAAGCTCTTCTCATCTCCACGACACTGCACCTCATTCATGTAGATGGGACCCATGCCTGCAGAGAGGTTACACAGCAGATTCAGTCTGTTTTCACAGGCTAAGGTTGATCTTTAAATATTCCAACCATCTTGCCTTTATTTTGTTAAACGTTACTCATTTATACATTAAATTTAATTTGACTCAAGGAATTTGCCACTACATTGTATTGCACTTTCTTACTAACATGAGCATAATAACTGTTAAATCATAATTATACATGGGACACTCAGGACTTATATGGACATTATGTGGGACTGCCCAAAAGTATATGCCTTTTGGGAGAAGTTAGTTGAATCTCTCTCTCCATTGACTGACATGCACTTCTCCATGGACTCTGACCCACGCCTACTTAACAATGACTTAATATCTCCATCCCAATAAGGACTTGGAATATCTGGCTGCCTGGCTTAACAGCAGCAAAAAAGTCATCATCCATCGTCTGTCCAAACATCAACTTTTCATACATGGAATTATGGAATATCCAAGGTGAAGTGCCTTTCCCTTGCTTACCTGTATTATAAGTGCATCGCTGCTGTCGGAACAAAATCTCATATCTCCATTTTTGTCATTAGCGTACAAGGAAATACCCAACACTAGGTGCAATTGTAGTAGTACATTAGCCTAATCATAGCATAGATTTTGTCTCTTGGTTTTAGGTGTTGGATGAATTTGACCAACCTTGACCCATGCGTGCCCCGGTTAGCGCTTCTTTAGCTGTACCAAAGCCCAGCTCCCTGCACACCACACTGGCTGACTCCAGGTTCCAGAGGTCATCACACACCGTGCCCCATTCAGAGCCTTTCAGCACCTCCACTCGGCCCTCGCCAGCCCTTGCTCCTCCCTTCAGACGTACCTTAGTCTGGACCAGAGGCAGAGAATTGGCAACTTTATGTAATTCTGACACTCTTTGCAGTGCCAATACTGTATAAATACTGATCAACATTCAATGCAAAGCATGATTTATTCACAACATAAAGATTTATTGCAAAAGTGGTAGATGATGTGCTTAAGTAAAAATATTTAACTTATTTTTTAAAATTGTAATTGTGCTGATGCATTTTACATTTTATTCATGTGGAAATTATGTAGGGGAGAGCAGGGTTGTTTGGCACAGGTTTTACTCTGCTGTACATCTCAGGTACCATACATTAGCATAATCAAACTAGCAGCAAATTCAAAGCTGAACATCTTTGCTAAAAACAGAAACTTTCAATGTCAGAAAATATTTCCTGCCATTAATGCTTCATGACTAAACTCATGTTGTGCACTTGTACTAGCACCAACATGGAGTTGGCTGGCACAACATTAAGCTATAGTTTTACAGAATAAAGCAACAAATAGAAATAATCTGATCTTTTAATTTAAAGCTCAATACACATTTAAAAAAAGACATTTAATGGCAAATAAGCAACATTTTTAGCCAATTAAATGTTAGGAATGTTTCCTAACAGTGTGAAATGTATTTTCTTTTATTATCCTACATTAAAACATCTTAATGTATTATGAACAACTGTTCTTTTTCGATCTAGTGTGTTAAACAGTATCCTGTTAAAATAAAAAAGTTAAAACATTTAATACATAAATAGACTGCATTCAAAGTTATTTTATTTTTATCTTGAGATAGACTCAGTTATCATCAAATGGTCTAAAGCTTAGAGGTGAGAACAACTTCTTACAAATTTAATGTATATTAAATTTATATTAAACAGTATTATAGTAGAGTACAGCACTATAGATTTAGTTAGTACGCTATTTGATATGTGTTCCCCATACTGACCCAGAAATGAACACCAAACAACCCCTGTGTCAACAAGACCCAGTTTTTAATTGGGTAAGCCTAATGAACTGCAGTTACCACATGATTTAGCTTGCTCTTGCGTCCACGACCTTGAGTGAACTGGGGCCCAGGCACACAGCTGACAACAACAGGTCCTCCACCAATGCAGGGGGCGCTGGTGTTCTTACTGAACTCCATAGTGCAAGCGGAGAGATGAGCCTCATTCCCAGTGCAGGCCACAGAGTGAATTTTGTACATGCTACGGTGACTAGACAGAGATGATATGAGCGGATGAGTATGCACATCTAGGGTAAAACTACTTTGTTCCTCTTTTGATTAATGAATTCACTGTTAATCAATCAAACAAGATCATATAATACATTGCAGTAATATAACTTGATCAAAAGCAGAATGGCCTAGATCTAAACAAATCCTTTTCATCTTTAATTTCATTATTCCAATTCCAAATAAAAAGCAAAACCATCAGGTTTTAATCTTCAAGTTTCTAATGGTCTTTTTTTCAGCAGGGTTCCTGGGTCAACGAGAGTGATTCTGGGCAAGAAGGAAATCTGTGAGTGCCAGCTCTACTCATTTGACACATTTCTAACATTCTTGCAGCTTACTGACGAGAAGAGTAATGTGACAGAGGAAAACGGGCACAAAGAGAGCATGCTGACCTTCCAACGAGAGCCTGTTTTAATCAAGTTGCCACTGAGAAGGTAAAACCTTCACTACTACATGTATACAAGCAGTGCACATTTCTTTTGACACAGTTTAGTTATAGTGACTGGATATCAGTGTTAATGTTTCATATTTGAGCCAGTTTAATCATCATTTAAATTCCCTCCCAGGGCCTAAATTCTCTAACTAATCCTCTAATAATCCCTTATTAGTAATTACCAGTTACACTGTCTAATTTCTAAAGCTAATTTCTGGTTTTTAATTTTTCAAGTAGCTTGTCTGTCACCATCCATGTACAACTCACCTATCAGGCTCTTGACATCCTCAGACATTAACAGTCGAGATGGCATAGCAATTGGAAATTTGCTATGACGTAACTTTGCTGTGCAGCATACTGGGGTAAAGTTGAGTCACTGTGGTTTTCACACACCCCTGCTGACCTCTCACGCACGTGTGTGGGTAAGTGTGGAAGAGTGTGTGTGTATTACACACACAGGTTTATGAACTCCTTCACCTTCAGTTCAGTCTGTATTTTAGATACAGTACTGTGTGAAAGTAAGAAATCACAATATCTGCATTGATATTTTCCATGCTACTTCTAAACATCTCCAAAGTTCAGTCTTAGAAGTTGGTTGCATTTTCTGCATCTCATGATCCAAGTAATCCCAAACACATTCAATGATGTTGAGGTCTGGGCCCTAGGATGGTCAGTCCATTGTTCTGAGAACACCAACAGCTTCTTTGTATAATTTGCAAGTTTTCTTTTTTGTCCATTTCTCAGGAACAGCTTCTTGACACAGTTCTTCTCACAGTGAAAGGAAGGACAGAAATGCCTGTGGATTTTTTCAGTTCTGAAGCGAGAGTGAAGCTGGATTTTCATCTGTCTCTCAAAGACGATAAAGGTTTTGGTGGTCTACCAGGTCTTGCATGGATGCTAGGAGTCCCATTTTCACTATCCTTACATATTAACTTATGTTTTTTTACTTATTTTGCTTGGACAGTCCCTTTTCTTATACAAGTGGCTTATCTTATATCTACTCAGAAATATCTCCTGAAAAAATAATAACTTGTACTTTGTGGCCGTTTTGATTGGAAATTAAAAACAGTACTTTTGTACAGTACCATAAAAATCAGTAAAGTTGCTTAACCATTTTTTCATCACGAGTTACAAATCAATAAAGCTACTTCACCCAATTTTTCCTGATGAATTAATCAGCCTCAGGTTGCTAAATTGCTAGTGAGCAACAGAAAATGATCCATTACATAAACATTGAAACAGCATGAGAAGTAAAGCCAGGTACCAGCTCCACTAAGACCAGCAACTGAGGCCTTTAGGCTTTTTAATAGGATGACCTTATGACCTTAGGCAGAATATCAAGTTATAATAAGAGAAACTAGCATTTTATTTTTCATATAGCCCTGATAAATTAAATCATTACATAAAATGCACACAAAAAAAAGATAAATGACAAGTATCTAATCTTTTTGTTTAGTAAGGTAACAGGCCCTAATACTGTGCAGGGCAAGCAAAAATAAAGTGGTTTTGGCAGAATACTCTCTTAATTAGTCATAAAGACAAATGGCTTGTGTAGTTAATTCTGGAGCTTAATGACTGAGGAGTATTTTTCCTCAGATCTTTAAATGAATTCTCCAGAGTGCGAGTCTTACTGACTCAGTAAGTTGAACCATTCGTAGACTGTCTCTGTTCTTTCTCTCTCCACCCCTTTTGTATAAAGCTTCTTCCTCTCTCTCTCTCTCTCTCTCTCTCTCTTCTCTCTCTCTCTCTCTCTCTCTCTCTCTCTCTGTCTGGTTCTCTCACGTGTGCTCACACACGTCCTCTATCGCTCACGGACATGGTCTGTCTGTCACAGCACTCACTGCTTACATTTTACCATCTGGTGTGAATCTGTAACACTGTCTGCTCTCAGACGTGGACGGCTGCTTCAGCACAGAGAGAAGAGAGCCAGACAGAGTGAAAACGAGAGAAACAGTGATAGAGGGGCTTGAGGGACTTTGTTGAGAACTCAATAAAATTGCATCACTTCAACGTGACTTCAGGAACAAGAACTAAGACACTGCGAACATGAATCTGTACTCCAAATCTGATAAGGCCTACTATAGCTATTAATGTACTAGTAATGTGTTTACCTTAGAACTAAGAACTAAGATCCTCTAAGATCGTGGAAATGCTAGAATATCAATGTCTATTAATAATATAGTCTTCAATCGCTGAAATATTTTGACAGGAAGCCTCACACGTGGAAATGATTTGCTAACAGAGACTGTGTAACTGAGTTATGTGTCCCTATTACAAAACATAAAATCACTCTGAGAGAATAGCATTTCTTATCTCAAGTGCACAATATGAGATTTAGAGAATGATCCAACAACGAATCCATTCCAAAGCTTTCAAATCATCAGTGATTATCTGATAGTCTAGTACAAGTACAATGATTCACATGTACATTTATATTATATACACTATATTGCCAAAAGTATTCACTCAACCATCCAAATCATTGAATTCAGGTGTTCCAATCACTTCCATGGCTTTAGTGTATAAAACCAAGCACCTAAGCATGCAGACTGCTTCTACAAACATTTGTGAAAGAATGGGTTGCTCTCAGGAGCTCAGTGAATTCCAGCATGGTACCATGATAGGATGCAACCTGTGCAGCAAGTCCAGTCGTGAAATTTCCTTGCTACTAAATATTCCACAGTCAACTGTCAGTGGTATTATAACAAAGTGGAAGCGATTGGGAATGACAGCAACTCAGCCACAAAGTGGTAGTTCACGTAAAATGACAGAGCGGGGTCAGCGGATGCTGAGGCGCATAGTGTGCAGAGGTTGCCAACTTTCTGCAGAGTCAATCGCTACAGACCTCCAAACTTCATGTGGCCTTCAGATTAGCTCAAGAACAGTGCATAGAGAGCTTCATGGAATGGGTTTCCATGGCCGAGCAGCTGCATCTAAGCCTTACATCGCCAAGCGCAATGCAAAGCGTCAAATGCAGTGGTGTAAAGCGCCGCCACTGGACTCTAGAGCAGTGGAGACGTGTTCTCTGGAGTGACGAATCACGCTTCTCCGTCTGGCAATCTGATGGACGAGTCTGGGTCTGGCGGTTGCCAGGAGAATGGTACTTGTCTGACTGCATTGTGCCAAGTGTAAAGTTTGGTGGAGGAAGATTATGGTGTGGGGTTGTTTTTCAGGAGTTGGGCTCGGCCCCTTAGTTCCAGTGAAAGGAACTCTTAATGCTTCAGCAGACCAAGAGATTTTGGACAATTTCATGCTCCCAACTTTGTGGAAACAGTTTGGGGACGGCTCATTCCTATTCCAACATGACTGCGCACCAGTGCACAAAGCAAGGTCCATAAAGACATGGATGACCGAGTTTGGTGTGGAAGTCCTGAACTCAACCTGATAGAACACCTTTGGGATGAATTAGAGCAGAGACTGCGAGCCAGGCCTTCTCGTCCAACATCACTGTCTGACCTCACAAATGTGCTTCTGGAAGAATGGTCAAAAAATTCCCATAAACACACTCCTAAACCTTGTGGAAAGCCTTCCCAGAAGAATTGAAGCTGTTATAGCTGCAAAGGGTGGGCCGACATCATATTAAACCCTATGGATTAAGAATAGGATGTCACTCAAGTTCATATGTGTGTGAAGGCAGACAAGCAAATACTTTTGGCAATATAGTGTATGTAATCAAAGGGGAATTACTTCCTAAAACTAGCATTTCATGTATTATTTGTTATGTTATATAGTATTCTGTAGGGCAGCCTTGCATCCATCAACCTCACTGACTTTACAGAATTCATGATTTTGCATCGTTTTTGTGTTTTCATCTATCAGCAATCTCTCACTACAATACCCAGCATGCATTAAACAAATACATCTGACAGCTAGCCACTGACCTAGAGGGTAATACATACAGCTGTATGTCCATTTAAGTTTCATTAGTGAAACAGCATTAGTGAAATAGTATTAATCTCAATGAACTGTTTGCAAAATTCTGACAAGTCCTCCCTCACTTGGTTACTGTTGCTTCTTTGTCAAACTGTCAGTTCAGAGTACCTGGCATCTGTAGCACTTCTGCTTACAGAATAACTAAAATGTAAGGTGTTGATGGCTAATAAGGGAGAGGTTTGAACAAGAAATGTTGCCCCTTCAGACAAGCTCATTTTAAAGCTAACACTGGAGCTAGTCGGCGCAACATTAGATGCTGAGAAGGACTCATCATCTTGTACACAAGATCCTTTAGACTTTGATGAAAGAATATGTTATTTACTATTAGTCATCATATTAAAATGGGTGTTAGCCATTTTAAAGTTTACCTTAGCGTTTACATTAAGCTCTAAGTGTGGTCTTTCACATAGTTTCACCTAAAACTTTCTCAGCTTTGGGAATAAAATTAAAACAGCACCAGCCTCCACACTGGAGTTTTTCCTTTGCTTGACGGAGAAAGCAGTTTAGTCACAATTCTGAGTGACTAATAGGTGTGTCAACCATTGTTTTACAACTGGTCATAAAACTATTTTCTCTGTTAAAGGAATAATTCAGCTGGCTATTGAAGAAAAAAAAAAAACAAACAGCCACCACAAAGCACTTGTAGTCTTTCAAAACAAATTTCCACCTTCAAGAAACATCATCAAAATGGGTCTTTCCGTATCTTTAAACAAGAAAATCTCAATTGAGAGTCCAGAGAAGCACCACTGTCAAAGACTGCAAGTAAGCATGTTCCCAAAAAAGTTTTAGAAAAGGTTAATTTTTCCTTTTGGCTGGGATGCCCATTTATGTTTCATTACTGAATATAATAGCTTTCTTCCACAACCAATCACTTATAAATGTGAGTTTTCTCCTGCTGTCAGTTTTGGTATTACGATATGCATAACTGCAACAGCAACTGAATCTTGAGATTTTCCACCCTAACTTAGCAGTGTATAAACACATACATCTTAAAGTGGAAGTTGTGAGTTGTTTACATGAACTCATCATCACACATTCTCATGAAGCTTTTTATAACAAAACAACCACTCCATAACTCTTTGTGGACTAATTTAAGATACATACTCAATATGTGAAAACAGAAAACTTCAGAATCTCCAAAGACCCGACAGAAAAAGAGCACTTTGGGTCAGACAACAGGCAGCCCACAGCAAATTAGGCGTCTCAGCTTGTAGGAACCCTTTGCCGACAACAACTATAAAATGCTCTTTCAATCATCTGCACAGGACAGAATACACTGCTACAGAATTCTTTAGGAAGGCATCTGGCAAGTAAACACATTTTGCTGTCAGAAAAGTGTTCTATGCTCCTGTGTGGCTCACAATGAAGAGTGAAACTTCCACCTGGAAAAGGTTAGGGGCTTTCATGTACAGTGCTGTAGAGGAGGAGGACTGCAGGCCATGATTTACTGCCATGATGAATGTCCTCTACTAATGATTATCCTATCTGTATTTTATTTCCAGAGACATTACTGGCTGAGAAATGCAGAGGAAAACATTCAGTGTCATCACATGTCTAAACACAAACTCCCCAAAGCATCTCCTCCACACTCGGACAGAAGAAATGTACTCCTACCTGTGTGGCTTCTTTCCGGTAATCCTCTCTGAAGGGAATCCCATCATGCCACAGACCACACGTGAGTTTTTGACGGTCCAGCCAATGTTGCAGATTTGACTCCAGCCCTCTTTATACTTCACCTCCACTACGCCCTCAGTAACAGGCATTCGGGCACCATGGGCAGCAGAAAGGGGGCGCAAGCGGATCTCCTCCATCCTGTTCTCATCCACCTGCATCTAAAATGCCAACACAGTTGATGAGAATGACAATAAACTGTATGCCAGCAACGGCATCGTCCCTCATAGAATTTAAATCTATATTAACTTTACAGTTTATTCCCTTCAGCCATCAGAAGCCAACTCTGATACATAACGTATAACAGTATAGTATCATAATATTTACATACACTAGACTACAGCTGTATTTGCTTAACTCAGCCAGCAGTAGTTCAGTCATTATTATGTTACACGGTGACATAACTTTATTACTTATAGCCGTACGCAAAAGTTTGGAACCCCTGATCAAATTACATGTTTTGTTACACTTCTGAGTAAAAATAAGTTAACACATCCTCTACAGAGAACATGCTTACAAAGGTAAAGGGAAAGAAATCATACATAAAATGCAGTCTTTGCAAAAGTTATGGCACTAAACTTTGCAGAAAAATGCCATATTTAAATTTGTACCCTGTAGAAGATGTGTTCACTTATCTTTACTTAGAAAATCAACAAAACATCAACAACAACGGTACATGGGGTGTTTTTAATCCCTTCTTGTTTTCCACCTATTGCCTTGTCAGCTAAACAGCTAAAAACATAACAGAAAATAGCCAAAGATTAAGCACAATTAATGATGTTCTGTCAACGGATTTGTGAACGATGTAATATGAACAGTAAATATCAGCTCTCAGTAACACTGCCGGTTAGTGCCAACTCTGAGTGCTAAGCTAAACTGCATAAATAATTTTTGTTAATAGTTATATTTTATTCAGTTTATAAAAACTGAAACAAATGATGACCTATTGTGTCATCCATGCACAACAGGTGATAGAATAAAGAAAGTTTTTAACGGTGATTGAAACTTTCAGTGTCGTTTGCCTTCCAGCTCCCGCTGTGTCCTAGCAACCACCTCTGGACATGCATATCAGTGAAGCAGTGCAAAAATCGCACCCCAGTCTGCTACGTAGAGGGCAGCTGTGTTATCCACTATGCTACAACAACTGCTTTTACTATACTACAACCCCACAACAGTTCCAAATATGAGGACATTCGCAATACTCTCTCACTCATTCCTTGTTGCAGCTGATTTAGTATTGACATACAAGTGCACAAAATTAGGGGTTTAAACTTCCTAATTCCAGCTTTGAAAGAGAACCAACTGTGGACATGTGCAAGAAATCCAGACATGAGCAGTGAGTACACGTGCACACACACATACGCACATAGGCACACTCAGCCTGCTGAATCAGTGCCATGGAATGCTTGTATGTGTATAAGCAGACAGTGAGAAACTTCTCCTTTAGACTTCGTATCTGTAACTCTAATGAAATCCAATCCCATACGCCTGTTTGCATGCGTTGGCGTGCATGTGGGTGGGGGTTGGGTAGCCTCTTTGTTTGTGTGTGTGGCTTTGCGGTAGGCATGCATTATGATTTATAACTCACAAAAAGCAAAAATACAGACTGGTCAAAAATAGTTAAAAAAAAGATTGTTTACTAGTGGCACCTCTCAGAATTCTTGTTAATGTGTTTTGGACTTTATGCTGAATTTGGAGCTGAAATCTTTAATGTGCAGCATTCCAGTCTAAGTGTACACAGTGGTGTGTGTGTGAAGCTGAGCTCAGTGTTAGGCAGCTGCTTCTAACGGCAGCCTTGAGTTCTCCGTGTTCTTTCGTTCTTCCTGTATGAAACAGCCCATTGGACAGCAGTGCACGGCCTCTTACACATCTTTCCCCCATTCACTTTCTGGCTGTGTCTCTATGTCTTCCTCACTGTCTCTCTCTCGCTTGCTCTCTCTCTCACTCATCACTTCTTTCCTCTCACTCTTTCTCGCTCTCTCTTGTTCTCTTACTCACTCTCCCTCTTTCTCCCACACTCCCTCTCTTTCTTGCTCTCCCTCTGTTTCACTCTTTGTCTGTCTCTTTCGTTCCCTTCGTCCCTCCTTCTTTCTTTCTCTCACTCTTCCTCATTATGTCTCTCTTACCCCTCCCATCTCCCTTTCTATTCTATTGCTCTCTCCCTTAGTCTTTTTCTCTCTTTGCCTCCCTCTTTTCCCCCTTCTCATTCTCTCTCTTTCCCTCTCCCATCTCCCTCACCCCACCATCTGTCTCTCTTAAACCCTATCTTTTCCTCTTTTCCCTTCTCTTTCTCTCATTCTTACACTCACTCACTCTCTCATGCACATAATCTGTCACTCACACTCACTTGCTCACTCACTTTTTCTCTCTATTCTTCCTTCACTCACACATTTGCTCTCCCTTTCTTTCTTTCTTTCTTTCTTTCTTTCTTTTTTCATTCTCGCTCCCTCTCTTGTTCTCTTTCTCTTATTTCCCTTTCTCTCTCTCACCTTCTCTCTCCTTCCCTCTCTCATTCTCTCTCTCATTTTCTCTCTCCCTCCCTCTTTCCCTCTCCCCCCGGCTCTCTCTGCTGGCAGATCATATGAGGTTAATTTAGTGCAGAGTCGGTATCCTGCACTGCTGCTGGCTCCAACACAGACCGCTTCCCCCCAGGCTAACCTACAGCCTGTGGGCTCCATTCTGTGCAGAAAACAGGGGGAAAGGAAGAAAAGTCCAAAAGACAGAGAGAAACGACTCTAGACAGTTTGAGACAGTGAGTGGAAAGAAGAGAGATTTAAAACTGAGGGAGAAGGGAGGGATAGAGAGTGAGAGAATGAGAGAGAGAGGAGTGAAAGAGAGAGGTTAGAAAATAAACAGAGGGTTAGTCTGCACCACAGACTGCACGAATGAATGAGCACATTTCCCCTGAGCAAATGGAAAAATCACTTGGAGTGAGAGATTAAAAAGTTTATTAAATAGGAAGTCACTCATGAATAACTTAATCGAATTACTGACACACAAAATGGTAAGCTAACTTTCTATTAGAAAACAATATTCACAGTGGGCGTTTTGTCTGAGCTAAAACACAGCTATATTCTCAGTTTGCAGCAGCTCTGTAATCATCACAAGGATTCAGTCAAATAATGACATGGCTTTGATAGAACTCTCCCTATTGTTCTCTTTTCCAAGAAGCTAATTACTTGCTTTCATCACTTCAAATGGCTCTTTTCAGAGCATAATTGGTTTTCATATGTGAAAAGTACATAAAAGAAAAAAAACACAATGTGCTTGTAACACAGTGTGCTTGTCTTTCACAGTCCAATATAACATGACCAACATGTGTACTGACTTAGTTAATTAAGTAAATCAATCAAATGGAGATTTTTGTGCCTTTGAATGTACTCTCCCCAGTTACCCCCTCTGTCTATGATTTTCAAACAGCAGGATTCAAGTTCTGGCCAATCAAACATTGCAAAGAACATGGTTCAGTAACAATGAATCCTGACTGTTTCTTCAATGGTAATTCAATTTACTGTTACTTTGTGTCCCCTGTCTTTCTGTATGGCCCTGACTGATGGCATGTTCAGTTTACCTCAATGATGTTGGAGTCCAGGAAGCCAGGCAGCCTCTCGTCTTTACAGACAACCCCTGCATCCTCCTCATGAGTGCAATCACTGTTACCCCAGCCTCGAGACAGACATTTCTCAATGCTCTTCTCCGAGCCTGAGCATATCACATTATCCAGCCAGATCTTACCTGCAGAGATAGTGATATAAGGGCTCAGATATATCTAGCATGGGTTACGTCTTAAACCTTAGGCTTATTATCCAGCTATTATTCTTGAACTGTGATGCTGGTTTCCTTTCCAAAGACTCTGATTGGTATAGCATGGTGATCTTGCCTAGACGTGAACCCTAGTCTGCTCTGTGGAGTGCAGCATTGTTATCAACTACATTACATCAACCACATATTCAGTAACTACAATTAATTATTTATTCATTACTATGGGACAAATACACGCCATGGCCAAAAGTATGTGGACAAATGAGCATCACTACTATATGAGCTTTATGGACATCCCATTCTAAAACTATTTTTGAGTTGGCCGTTATTTGCAGCTATAACAGCCTCCACTCTTCTGGGAAGGCTTTCTACAAGAATGTGGAGTGTGTCTGTGGGAATTTGTGCCCATTCACTGTGCCAAACTCAGATGCATCCATAGACTGCTAGATATTGAAGCGTGATACATCACTCTACAGAACACATTTCCACTGCCCCAAAGTCAGTGATGGCCTGCTTCACATCACTCCAGCCGACAAATGGCATTGTGCATAGTGATCTTATGCTTGTGTGCAGCTGCTCGGCTATCAAAGCCCAGTTTCTGGAAGCTCCCAATTCACAGATATTATGCGGATGTTGTTTCCAGAGGCAGTTTGGAACTCTGTAGTAAGTAATGCAACAGAGGTTCGGCGATTTTTACACGTTACATGCTTCCGCTTGGTGTAAGTTTGTTGATCTACCCCTTTGTGGCTAAGCTGTTGTTGCTCCAAGATGCTTATACAACACATACCACTTACAGTTAACCAGGGCAGACCTAGCAGGGCAGAAATTGCACAGACTCACTTGTGGCAAAGGTGGCTTTCTATGACAGTGCCACACTTAAAGTCACTGAGCTCTTCAGTACAACCTATTACTCCTCATGTAATCAATTAACATCAACTGTTCATGTGCCTTTTCACTAGTAAGCATATCAACACTAATAACAAAATCTCTGAAAAACTTGGTCACTTTATATTAATGTATGAAATAAAGTTTCATTTTAAGTAATTTTGGACCATTTCTATTGGTCCGTTCATTGTGAAATGTTCACCCAATGTAAAGACAGCTGTCTCTTTTCAACTGGTGAAAAAAAAATGGAATCATGAGTTTTTGGTAAGTCACGAACATCATCTATTATACCAACCTGTGCCTGCTCCATACTTGGCACTATGTGACCAGCTGAGGGCCTCCACAAAACCCAGATGGCGGCACAACACATGTGCGTTAGAGAGAGTGAAGTCATCATCACAGATAGTGCCCCACTCGCCGTTATAGAAGACCTCCACTCTGCCCTCGTTATGTTTACGTGGGTAGCCAGCCAGACGGAATTTTAGCTGGTCATGTTGAGGAGAGGATGTCTGGCACAAACAGGAGGGGAACCACATATACACCAGTAATACCACTATATCCTGAGATTTCACCATGGTCTGAAAGAGAAAAAGAAAGAGAGGGAGAGAAACAAAAAAAAACTATTGTAAAGTAAAAAAGACATTACAGGGTGGATTCAGGTATTACTGGACCTCAGGTAATATGGAACCTATAGTAGTCTCATAAACATCATTTTTCTCATTCAATTTCCCACTTAACTTATCTTTTTAGCTCAATTTGCATAATCATACTATTGCTTTTTGCTAATTTATGAAGCATACCATGATCAAAATCAGCTTAAATTGGAATAAAGTTTCTAAAGTGTCCCCATTATGGCCCATAATACCTGAATAAATATTAATTTTGCTGATTTTTCAAAATTTGTAAAGAAAGTCATTCAGAGTGGTTTGATGTGAAATAATTAATTGTAGAGAAACTTCAGATTTTTTTACGGTGATGGTGATACGAACCAAAGGTCACGATGTCTGCAATACAATATAGCCATTTTATTTACTATCCAAAACCACCAGTGATCCTACATGTGTCTTCTCAGTTCTTATATGCATTGTTTATAATAATAAAACAGTGTTAATTCTGAAAAAAAAATCTCTTTGAGGAATATTTTACCTACACTAGTATTAGACTAAAGGCTCAAAATCATGAAATAAGTCTTTCAAATGACTTTCTGTGATTTAGCTTTTAAAGGTATTAAGCTCTTTAGACATCTGGTTCTTATTATCACCACTGTGAACAATTCTGACCCATTAAGTTCCTCTAGAAAGAAGCATTTCACATCAAACTACTCTGATTTTGTTTACAACTTTACCATTTAATTATACAATTAGAAAAAAATCAGTAGAATTCCCCTTTAACTTTTTCCACCACAATGTTTTGTTGTGTCCATTCTTTTTTTTTAAAGTATAATATTTATGTGCACTTAACTTGCTGTATTATTCTTACAAAGAATGTTCTTGAAGTGTGTAGATGATGCGCAGCTCATCTTACCTGTCTTTAAGAAGAGTTCACACCTGCAGAGTTTGCCTGTGTTACGAAGGAGTTCTGAAGATTCTCTCTGACCAAATTAAGAGGATGTTAAAATGTTCAACTTCCTTTTCAATAAACCGATCTGTCCTGAAGTTTCAGAGCATTTGGGGATCCATCGTAAAGCCAGAAAGATAGCGCCTGTTTGGCTGAGTGGACAGAGAGCTGGAGGGAGGCTGGGGTTGCTCTGGAACTTTGGTAAGCTCACTGTCTGCCTTCAACTATTTATAGGGGGAGGCGCAGACTGCTCTATACAGGAGAAACATCTTGACAGCAGTTCACGTGAAGTCTTGGTTTGAACAGTTTGCCAGATTGCTGCTGAATGCACATGTGCTGGGAGGAGAGAAGGATCACTGCAGGAAGCTCGTCTTGTAGGAGAGGTTTTTGATATGCATTGGAATTTCCATGTGAGAAAGTGGCTTGCAGTTTTTGCAGGTTGTTTCAAGTATAATAATGTTTATAATGGGAGAAGTTGAAAGAAATCATAGACTTGCAGACTTGCAGACTTAGAAAATTGCAAATGTTTACTGGATGTCAATGGTTAATGGCAAGGGCATTGAGGAACAGCGCCATCTGTTGGGCACTATAACCCAATGGTTAACCCATTAACCAAGCGCAAAGCCGCATCAGACCCTTCTCCCCTGATCGCTCCCACCACCACGCACAAAAAAGTACTTTTTTAAAATAACAAATAAATAAATATGACAAAATAAAAGTCACTGTCCATACGTTATTCTGAACGGTTTCTTCGGCAATGAAGCTGAATGAGAATTAATGGAAAGAAACAACGGGAGAAGGTAAACAGTTTCCCAAAATCACACCTTTCGCTTGCCCAGCTGTAAACTCTCAGCTTTCTGATGAGCAGGCTAACTAGACGAAGACAGTGTTTTTCAATAGATCAATTTTTTCAGTGTTTTTCAATAGATCAACTCTTACTTACTTAACAAACCGGATAGTCCCGGTCCTAAACACTGATTGCCTGAGCTGAGTTCGAAGCCGTTGTAAAATCCTCCGTATATGCACACCTATGACCGCCTCGCAGCAGCTGAGCTCTGTGTTTCTGTGCCACATCCCACAAAATCCGTATCCTGTTGATGGAATAATCTTTAACGTTAACTCAGATGCAGCTTGCATGGACCACCGAGTGTACTGATGAAGTAAGAACCTAGTTCTGCTTAAACTGAGGGGATGACAAAGTATTTTCTTAACTTAGAGCTAGGCTGCACATCTAACGTTCGCTAACAGGCTAAAAGATAGCAAACATGCTAAACAACCCTTCAGTAAAATCACAGGCTTGTCAATGGCAACATAAAAGACTAAAGAATGTCGCTTAAATGTCTTACAGGCTTCAAATGTCTGTTTTTCAGTTGAATCTGCCTTAAGTAGCATCAAACCCAGACTGAATCTCAAACAGCTCTGTACTCCCTAGCTACATAGTGTGTTAGCTAGCTAGCTAGTTATGTAGGTTAGCTAGTCAAGTTTTGAAATTCTAGCTACTGACTATTTTTTAGCTATATAATTCACTGTTGGGGTGCAGGAAGTGCACTATGTAGGGAGCAGTGAGCCATTTAGAGCCATTTAAGATTCAGCCCCAGCGTGGGAGGAGGGGTGCCGTTAGCTTGTTGCTAAATAAGACTGGAAATCGCATAGAGGCGCTAGTGGAAATTAGCATTGTCGTCATAGTGGTAATTTAGTGTCTAAAAAGTACTTATAAATCGAAGGTTTTTGTATTGAACAATGCTGTGTTGTGATATATTAATTATTTTTACACGACAAAAAGTTAATGAAATGACCGCTGCATAAGTTACAGTAATGGGTGACATAAAGGCGGAATACTTGTTTAAGTTATTTAACACTACTGAAATTGTGTATTTTATCATGTTTTATGTTTTCCGCAGTTTTATAAAAGCAATAGGCTTTATAACTCAACTGTGCATTACTTTTAGTTGCTATAATCAATTTTTTTGTGTTTAATTTCATTATGTCTCGTTGGTGACAGCATATGTACTCTTTTGCAGTTGGTCATACCTCAGATTTTTGAGTAGGAACTAGTAAATTTTAGTTCAAATGCTGATAGATGTTGGATGCGCTAAGCCTGCTGAAAAGCAAAACAAAACAAACAAAAAAACAGCACAGACCATGCTGTTTTATGCTGGTCTAGTGCTGGTCTCTTGCTGGTTTAGCTTGTCACCCAGCCTGGTCATGCTGGTTTACCTGCATACAGCATCCAAAACACAACATATGCTTGTTTTGTTGGTGACCATCCACGGTGGTCTGTGCTGGTTTCTCTAGCAGGGAAGTTCCATGGCAATTCTTCAAAATTACTCAGCACTTAAGAAGTTTTTGACCTTTTGTACTTCGACTCAGGTTGTTTTTTGGAAAGGTACTGTTACTTCTTGAGTTATTATTTCACAGACATAACAATACTTTTCCTGAAGTAAAGGTTTAGGCTACTCTACCCATCTCTAGTGCTGAAAGTGGTCTTCATCATGGTTTGGATAAGAGGCTAACAACTGAATGCTGATGTGAGTGAGAGAGAACTTTTGCTGTTCTTTGCTGTTTTGATTCTGCTGAAAGTTTCACAGTTGATCTGCGATTAGCGATAAGACAGTCTTTACAATCTAATTCTGTTTGCTGCATAATTTCAGTTGTGGCTACAGGATAAAATGGTTGTTTTGCATACTTGTATGTATTCAGACATAATTAATGTAATCAGCAGGGCTGTGTGAGAAGATGCTGACAAACTTCATTCCAAATTCTCTGTGAGTTGGTTTCTATTCTAGAAAGCTTGAGGCAAGGTGGTCCCCAGCTAGAAGTTAACACCCCATTTTACCCTCAGCAAGCATTTCACCATTTCTGCAGTCTCCTTAGCTCTCCTGGAACAGCTTAACAAGTCATACTAATGTTTCTTTGTCTCTCCCTCATTTCTCTCACAGTGTGAAATGTTCACCAGAATGATCTTCAGAGGCACTAGGCTGGCTTCACATGACCCTCCCTCTTTCCAGGCTGCCATGCCCTCTGAGCAGTTCGACAGGCAGGTAGGCTGCTCTCTCTGATCAGCTCGTCTTCATTCTCCTCACCCTGCTGAGGGAAAACCAGCCCTGCGGCACAGACCGCGCATTTAACAACCATCATTCTCTCTCTCTTGCTCGCTGTCTGCCTTTCTTTTACTCTATATTTCTACACATCACTCAGGGGCTCTGCAGAAGGCCTGTTTTGTCCAGAGACACTGCATCACAGCACTGCAGAGTAGTGATGGGTTGATGTTGTTTGATGCTTTATTGGAAATTTGGAGGTGTTTGAAGGAACTCTTTTCTCTCTCTTCTACTGTACCTATATTTATTCATTTCTTTTCTTAAAAAAGAAGGAATTTCATGAATTTTTCCAACGATTTTTAATATGGATGGTGGTAGCCTACAATGCAAAAATAGCCATGGATGAATTAAAAAAATACATTTCAGGCTGAAACGTTATCTCAAAGGTATTGAAAAGACAATGTCTCAGGCATCAGGCAATATAGTCATAATGATTTTGTGTATAACTTTCTGTGAGGTAGCTTTTAGAGGCATTAAACACCTCATACGTCTGGTTCCTATTACTGCCATTGTGAACAATTTTGACTTGGTTTCTCTAGAATGAAACATGTTCTTCAACCATTAAATTATGCAGAATCTTTGAAAAATCAGTGGAACTCCCCTTTAAGACTTAATCAGTAACATATTAATTATGCATTAACTACTGTGAAGTATTTAATGACTTATTTAGTTATGCGAGTGAGAAATCGAAATGTAGGCGCACATATAGGCTCAAAATATGGACTTAAAATGGTTTGGGCAATGAGGATATGTTCTTTCTTGCTTCGTCCACATACACATCCATGAATACGCACCAGTTTAATTTACGCATTGTGTCAAGATGGGCAAAGAAGAGGAAGAAATGCACAGACTTTATGGCCCCATAAAGAAGACATCACAAGTGTGCCAGCATGCCTTGAAGACACGTTTTGACATTCATTGTGTCATTGGCCATACTCCATTACCCCTGTGATCAGGAAGTTTGCCTCATGAGCAGCAGCTCCAGAGGGCAGGTCAATGTCACTTACTCTGTCTCAGAGCCATAAAAGCAGCGATGCATACATCCTTAAGCACCTACCGAGAAGCTAGTAGGGTCGGCCCCTCGCCTTAGCTCTAAATGTAATCATGGGGCTAGAGTGCGGCACGCGCCCCGGAGTGTGAGAGCACTGATTGACTCGGAATTGGATGTGTGAAGGGAGGATAATCAGCTGGCAGAGAAGAGGTGATCACGTTCAGTCGTACGATTACACTGAGAGCCCCAAACTGGGCTGATTTTCTCTGCTTCCCTATTGGCAGTATCAACACCTCATCTGCTGCATAGCGAGCTGTGAGCTATAGACCATAAGGCACTATTTTCCCCCAGTCTCAATCCCCTTCCACCTGATTCAGTTCATAAAGGACATGGTAATTAGTGGATGAGCTGAATAAGATGTGTTAGAGTGAGGAAAAACTGAGCGGTGCACTGGGGGAGGTGGGGAGGCTGCAGGTTGAAAAGCACTGCAGTTAGGGGAGGAGAATGAAAGATGAGACAGAGGGAGAGAGAAAGACAGATAGATAAAGGTTAGAGGAATAGTTCGGTCAGAAATCAAATTTATACTTTTTTGACCAAAGTTTTATTCTTTAAAAACTGACAGAAATTCAGGTTTCAGCTGATAGCTGCTACTACTGTTTTTAGCTATTTGACATACAGTGCCAAATACCACAGAAGAAAGTCTGTTTAAAGGGCCCATATCATGATGAACCAAGCGTTCCCTTTGTTTTGTTTTTTTTTGAATAAAGAGTGTGATGGAGCATATAACACTGTTAAAGCACATTGTTCACTCCCCAGCCCATTAGTCCAAGCCCATCAGCAAAAACAGCCTGTTTTAATTCACTGCATTTTGTGATGTCACTGAAACCAAGCAGTTAACATTTATCCTTTTTTTGAGCCTACATCAGTTTAGCTCCGCCCATTCATTCTGTATATCGGTCTTAAAGGTGTAGTGACAAAAACAGGTGGTTTAATTCTGAGGGATAAAGAGAGCTTAGAAAATGATCATGTTAAAGTGAACTGTTACTATTTTTGGTACATAAACCACATGAACGTCATAGGTAGACAATAAAAATGTAAGATATGGGCCCTTTAAAAGTACATAATAATACAGTATGGTTTGAGTCAAGTGCGTGATGACTTAGGCATGCAATTTACGTAAGAAGCAAACTTCGGACACCAGACTT